ACATTTTAATTGAACAAAGACACCCTTCTAACAGTTGAAAAAAAATCATGACACGCCAACAAGCAAAAAAATACAAAAAGTACAGTATGTATACTAAAATAAGATCATCTCATTTACTCAAAAATATATCTGACACGTAATCTGGGCCTGTTTAATTGTAGATAAAGCTAATATACATTTAATATTCAACGGGCTACTTCAAAAAAATAGAATTTTTTTTACTTATTTTCCAGCTGTTTTCCAAGTGCTATCGTAATGGAAAATAAATATTTGTTTACTCTCTAAGACTCTAAAAATATCAAGGTCAAGGGAATAATCATTTAAGTTGTAGGTTCCTTGAAGACAACAAATTGTCCATAAGTGCGAGCGTGGATGATTGTCCCCTGCAAATTGGCTAATGAGCAGTCCAGCTTGTACCCTGCCGCTTGCACATGGTCAGCTGGGAAAGGCTCCAGCTCACCCACCACCCTGAACATTGTAAGCAGTACAGAAAATGGATGGATGATACACCAGAGGTGTCCAAAGCCTGACCCAGTGGCCATTTGCTGCCCACAGCTTTTTTTTTTTTGGCCTGAAGCACTATTCTAAAAATAAAATCAAACACAGCCAGATTCATAACAGTAAGGTTGCCTGCATTGCACTTCTTACTGTTTCGCCGTTGTTGATCTGAAGCTGGAGACGAGCTTCTGCACATCTTATGATCAACAGGATCGACTGGCCAGCAAATTTATGTCACTTCGGCGAGAAAGTGCAGTATCAAAATAAGTAAATAAAATCTAAAGCCTTCGCAATTTCAAAATTGCATCCTGCAACATTGCAATGTCGAACTGAACGTGATTAATTGTTCAGCACTACATGTGAAGTTGTTGTTTGTCTGAATGTGACCTGTGCTTGACTAGCGACCAGGAATGGGTTTTCCCTGCCTCTTGCCCCGAGTCAGATGGCATCAGCTCCAGCTCACCTACAACCCAAAAAAAACCTCAGACGTAATCTGTTTTTCTTGAAAATCTTGAATTGCTGAACATCTCCTGACCTATATTGGATTAGTTGTAGCGTGTTTAACTAAGTGATGTCAAATGGAGGTGCTGTAAGAGGCAAAGCAGATTAAAACAGCTGAAAAGCAACCACTTTATGGGCCATATTGCAAAATGAAAATTGCATTGGCAGTGTCAAAAAGGGACATTCTAATCTTTCAAATGGTCAAATGTTGCGAAATGTTCGGATGCAGTGCACATGTTTGCATGACAGCACAATGCAGGTGTTACATCAGAAGTGGGAAAATGGGAATCTGATTGGAAGATGGACCAATTTAGCCAATCTACTTAAACAACTTGTTTATTTACATGCACAGTTGGCCCACACTATTTGCAGGAGATTGGGACAGGACCAGCCCACAAGTAGGCAAAATTTGCATGTAATTGACACGCGGTGAAATGTACTAGGGAACAAATAATAACAATTAAACCCTAATTATCCCCAAAACGCTGATAAACATTCAAGACATGGAAAAGAACACGTAATTTGAAAATATGGGAAACAATTTAAAAAAAAAAATGTTAAAATCCCATATACCGGTATGTTGAGCAACCTTGGATTATGAACAATGAGAGCACACAACGTCCTTGAATCGATCGTTGAATTACGGCATTTTTACCGATCTGCGATTTTGCATAAAATACAAAATATCAGCCAATCAAATGTGAGTAAAGCCTAAAAACAAGCACATTCAAGGCCACAATTATTCTTATTTTTGTGTGTGCGTTTAAAATAACTCGCAGTTAACCGCAATTGTGAGTTTTCCCTTCAAACGCAGTACAGTTTGGAAGGACTTCTCCTGCTCTCTGATGCCTCCGCATCAAAGCATCGCCTTTTCTAAACCTTCGGGTGGAAGCCACCTGCATGAACAACTTAACCAGCTGATCCACTCAACCACTTTACAAAGGACTGATACTAATTCACACAAAGTGCTGTCAGGTCAGACAATTTGCATTCCAACCCAATGTAAAATTCAATAATGACTTGTTGTGTGTGTGTGTGTGTGTGTGTGTGTGTGTGTGTGTGTGTGTGTGTGTGTTCATCATTATTATTATTATTATTGGCCTTAATGGCTTATTGGTAACCAATGACTGTGCATTAATAAATTCTGCCTAGCAACAAGTGTCCAAAAACAAATAACCAGGAAAAAGGCAGTTCTGTTCAACTATGTGAGTGTTTCCCAACATTTTAATTGAACAAAGACACCCTTCTAACAGTTGAAAAAAAATCATGACACGCCAACAAGCAAAAAAATACAAAAAGTACAGTATGTATACTAAAATAAGATCATCTCATTTACTCAAAAATATATCTGACACGTAATCTGGGCCTGTTTAATTGTAGATAAAGCTAATATACATTTAATATTCAACGGGCTACTTCAAAAAAATAGAATTTTTTTTACTTATTTTCCAGCTGTTTTCCAAGTGCTATCGTAATGGAAAATAAATATTTGTTTACTCTCTAAGACTCTAAAAATATCAAGGTCAAGGGAATAATCATTTAAGTTGTAGGTTCCTTGAAGACAACAAATTGTCCATAAGTGCGAGCGTGGATGATTGTCCCCTGCAAATTGGCTAATGAGCAGTCCAGCTTGTACCCTGCCGCTTGCACATGGTCAGCTGGGAAAGGCTCCAGCTCACCCACCACCCTGAACATTGTAAGCAGTACAGAAAATGGATGGATGATACACCAGAGGTGTCCAAAGCCTGACCCAGTGGCCATTTGCTGCCCACAGCTTTTTTTTTTTTGGCCTGAAGCACTATTCTAAAAATAAAATCAAACACAGCCAGATTCATAACAGTAAGGTTGCCTGCATTGCACTTCTTACTGTTTCGCCGTTGTTGATCTGAAGCTGGAGACGAGCTTCTGCACATCTTATGATCAACAGGATCGACTGGCCAGCAAATTTATGTCACTTCGGCGAGAAAGTGCAGTATCAAAATAAGTAAATAAAATCTAAAGCCTTCGCAATTTCAAAATTGCATCCTGCAACATTGCAATGTCGAACTGAACGTGATTAATTGTTCAGCACTACATGTGAAGTTGTTGTTTGTCTGAATGTGACCTGTGCTTGACTAGCGACCAGGAATGGGTTTTCCCTGCCTCTTGCCCCGAGTCAGATGGCATCAGCTCCAGCTCACCTACAACCCAAAAAAAACCTCAGACGTAATCTGTTTTTCTTGAAAATCTTGAATTGCTGAACATCTCCTGACCTATATTGGATTAGTTGTAGCGTGTTTAACTAAGTGATGTCAAATGGAGGTGCTGTAAGAGGCAAAGCAGATTAAAACAGCTGAAAAGCAACCACTTTATGGGCCATATTGCAAAATGAAAATTGCATTGGCAGTGTCAAAAAGGGACATTCTAATCTTTCAAATGGTCAAATGTTGCGAAATGTTCGGATGCAGTGCACATGTTTGCATGACAGCACAATGCAGGTGTTACATCAGAAGTGGGAAAATGGGAATCTGATTGGAAGATGGACCAATTTAGCCAATCTACTTAAACAACTTGTTTATTTACATGCACAGTTGGCCCACACTATTTGCAGGAGATTGGGACAGGACCAGCCCACAAGTAGGCAAAATTTGCATGTAATTGACACGCGGTGAAATGTACTAGGGAACAAATAATAACAATTAAACCCTAATTATCCCCAAAACGCTGATAAACATTCAAGACATGGAAAAGAACACGTAATTTGAAAATATGGGAAACAATTTAAAAAAAAAAATGTTAAAATCCCATATACCGGTATGTTGAGCAACCTTGGATTATGAACAATGAGAGCACACAACGTCCTTGAATCGATCGTTGAATTACGGCATTTTTACCGATCTGCGATTTTGCATAAAATACAAAATATCAGCCAATCAAATGTGAGTAAAGCCTAAAAACAAGCACATTCAAGGCCACAATTATTCTTATTTTTGTGTGTGCGTTTAAAATAACTCGCAGTTAACCGCAATTGTGAGTTTTCCCTTCAAACGCAGTACAGTTTGGAAGGACTTCTCCTGCTCTCTGATGCCTCCGCATCAAAGCATCGCCTTTTCTAAACCTTCGGGTGGAAGCCACCTGCATGAACAACTTAACCAGCTGATCCACTCAACCACTTTACAAAGGACTGATACTAATTCACACAAAGTGCTGTCAGGTCAGACAATTTGCATTCCAACCCAATGTAAAATTCAATAATGACTTGTTGTGTGTGTGTGTGTGTGTGTGTGTGTGTGTGTGTGTGTGTGTGTGTGTGTGTGTGTGTGTGTGTGTGTGTGTTTTATGTCATGTTTTCTCGAGCATGGCCGCCATCAGTGTGTCTGAGTGTGTTTCAGGAAATGTGTGTGTGTGTGAGTGTGTGTTTTGTCATTAATCCACAAATATGGGAGCACAGCATTAACAGTGGGATTCACACCATGGTGCTGTCCGACTGGAAGAGTGTGAGAAATAGTCTGCCAGAAATGAGGATGTGTGTCAGTGTCTCAATGTGTGTGCGTGTGTGTGTGCGTGTTTGCCAACTACTTCGCGCAACATTAAACACTGACGTTCGGCCATTTGTTTGTCTGCGCAGCTCTTTTCCACATTAAAAGTGTCCCGCCTCACACTACTGCACATTAGTAGAGAAGCACAGTGCCCATCTGCATGCTAGCTATACTTACATGCGCACACACACCCACACCCACGCCCACGTGCACGCACACACACACACACACACACACACACACACACACACACACACCCACAACACACACACACACACGCACACACACACACACACACACGCGCGCGCACACACATGCACAGCTCTATGCAGGGATCCATCCCACTGATCATCCAGATGGTTGGTAAAATATTCCAAAAGTGATATGGCAGAAGAGAGTAGGACAAAGTAATCAGCGACAACTCATGCTCGTGTCTAAATGCGCACACACACGCACACGCACGCGCCGAGTAAACAGACTTACTGTGCGCAAGGACTCTCATCTGACTGCTGCTGAGCGGAGAATGGAAAGTGAAAACCTCATGCTTGCTTGGCGGCACTTCTCTCTCCTCTGTCACTGCCCCCTCCTAATCCTCCTCCTATTCCTTCCTCCTCCTCCTCCTCCTGCTCCTCTTCTTCCCTCCCTCCCTCGCCCTTCACTCCCTCTTCCGCCTTCCCTCTTGGCAGAAGCTCGCCGCATTCAGCGCCACGCACCCCGTCTCCATCTAAGGCAGCGTTGGCTAAACGTGTCACACACAATTTATCCGCAGCAGGAATCTCACGGCCGGGGTCGTAGGGAGAAAGGAGGAGGTGTGGAATCAGAGTAGGGTGAGAGGGGAGGGCGGTCATGGAGGGGGCGGGAGGTCGTGGGGGCTTAGACAAACTTCTACTGTCAACACTCAATTTCACATACTGTGAAAATGCTATGGAGAAGCGGGATTCAAGCCACGCTGGCTGGTCCTGCCCCTCCCTCGTCCTTGTCTCTCCACCATCTGCACTAACTCTCAGACAGAAGCAGTGATTTTACAAGGCACCACCTGCACCCACACACCTTCCCACCCACAAGAGCAGAGTGAGGATAAAAAAAAAAATGCATGCTAAAGGCAACCAAGGTCGAACACAATACGGGAAGGGACGCGGTTTGACTTTTGAATCAATGTTTTCCCATAGGAAATAATGGGAAGAGAAGTGATCGATTCCAGGATCAAAGTGTCACCATCATTAAATCTTCAGCAACTTCGGTTTTAACATTATTCACGCTTTCACTGACGTGGATGTTTATATTTGTCAACCCAAGTCCAACTGTTTACTGCCAGGGATATGTATTCGTCAAGTGCGTTTCTCAACGGGTAGGCGTGGAAGAGGGACGGTTTGTCTGTGTGCCTCCTCCCCAGATGGATGGATGAATGGATGTGTAGTTAACCGTATCTATCCATCCATCCATCTATTCTCTAATCCGCTTATCCTTACAAGGGTCGCTGGAGCCTATCCCAGCTGTCATCGGGCAGTAGGCGGGGGACACCCTGAACCGGTTGCCAGCCAATCGCAGGGCACACAGAAACGAACAACCATTCGCGCTCACACTCACACCGATGGACAATTTGGAGTGTTCAATCAGCCTGCCACGCAGGTTTTTGGAATGTGGGAGGAAACCGGAGGACCTGGAGAAAACCCACGCAGGCCCGGGGAGAACATGCAAACTCCACACAGGAAGGCCGGAGCTGGAATTGAATCCGGGACCTCTGCACTGTGAAGTCAACGTGTTCACCCCTCAACTACCGGCCGCCCAATGTTGTTATTATTATTACTATTTATTTTATTTTTTTGGGGCAACAACCTGTATTAGAAAGGCTTCTCAGTGTGAAGCAGAAATAAACACATTACCACACATCCTATGGTTGCAGCCCATCTCTTTCACAGCATCACTCTGCTCCAGGACAGCAAGAGTCCCAACGGTTGCCATGGCGGCAAAGCCATCAACATTACGTCAGGTGCACGCATGTGAGTGTGCGTGTGTCAGGTGGATGCTACCGAGTGACTCACACTCACTGACGTGTGACTGCAACAAGTCATGTATTTGGAATTTATCACCACATTGCCTTGTGTGTCTGAGTGCATGTGTGTGTTTGAACTCCCCAGAGCGCATACGATGGATCTGCATGTCGCATGCGTAAATATTTACATCATGTCCACAGAGTCCAGCAGAAGTGCCCCAGTCATCTGCGATATGAACTGACAATTTTAAGAGTCCCCCCCACCCTCCCACTGGCTCCCTGTGTGACTCGCACCGCCTTCAAGGCATTGCGCAGAAATCACAAGATTTTGATTGTTTACAGATGGACTCTAAAAATAACAAAGAGTGATGTCACTCGGAAAGGGATAAACACTTTTCTGCAAAGGGAAGTTGGGTTGACTTCTCTAGCTCAGGGTTCACACAGCAGACTTTAGGCTTGAAATTATATTTCTTATCAAGATTGTGGTGCGCAGCCGCTTTTTTAATTAATGCTGACAAAAGCGTTGGGTTCGGACTCTGACACATTTTTAATCCAGGTCCATTATAATACAGGTATTTACCGAAAAGGCAATTTTTGAAGCCAGTTTAACATTCCTAATGGTACATACATGAGAGTGGGGTTGCAAAATTTAAAAAAATTTACAGTTGGAAAATTTTCATAGACATAAAAAAAGAACGAGCCAGGAATTTACCAACCTGAAGGTTGGATCTAAATAGGAATCTTAAATCCAGATGAAGAAAATATAGTTTTGCACGTGGGTGATGCTTTGAAATATAAATTAATTTGTTGCGTGACCACGCCAGTCACAAAAAACACCCTTATCATCTGTCCCCATTGAAATGAATAAAAATGTCTTTCATCCATTTTAAACTGCGCAAAAAAAAAGTTTTAATTATAAAACATAGTATTCTTAAATATTGTACTGTAGGTTACATTACAAAATCAAAACTGATCGGTAAACCGCAGTAATATCAGTCATGCTTTGTAGGGGATAAAGAATATATTCCTTGGGTAACATTGTAACCTTCTTAACGGACATACAAGTGTAAAAATATGTTAACCACTTAACCACTGTCAGTAGAACAACATGAACAGAAGTGATGGCTCGCAAGTTGCAATGTTGAGGTACATGAAGAGTACATGGTCAGTTTGCTAATTGAAGTGTGTTGTTAGCTTAAATTTCACTATGTGCTCATGAAATGTCCCTATTTTTCTATTTGCATTAAATTGTCTGTGTGCAGTTCATTTATGTAACAATAGAAAATTTTTTTACGAAAAGCATACCACCTACGTAATACAATGACCATGAAGTTGAATGGAAACCTTTGGTGGGTGAAATCAGGAAATCTCAGAAGCACCTTACAGTGTGAGTGACTCACCTGGCAATCATTTTCAATCATGGCATTATATACACTAAAAGTAGTGAATGAAACCTCACTTTATATGTTCACAATGAGTGTGTAAAAATAATAGGGGATAAACAAGAGGGGGGCGGGATCACACTTGAGTGAATATACTTCCTGCTAATGATGATGTACTTGCCGTTTAAGAGGCACACACTGATGAGAAAACAAGACATGCTGAAAGGTTTTGGACGTATAATTGGTGGAATTGCGGCTAATTTAGTGAGGACAAGGGTGTGAGTGTGAGTGGGTGAAAAGGCAGGCTTGCTTAACTTTTTTTGTGAGCCCTTGAAAAGGCGACGGGTGCGTCTTCCAAGAAGGAAAAGAGGAAAGAGTGAAGGGAGAGAACACACAGACTAAGAGAAGGAGGATTTAACGGCCACATCTGGAGCCATCTATCATCCTTGATGCTAAGTGAGGCCAAAAAGCTGAGCTGACAGCAAGAGAAGCTCGCAGATTATTATTTTTATTTTTTTTTCTTAATGGAAACTTTCAGCAAGGTGATGTGCTTTTAAGTGATCTCTGTTCGGTTCGAAATGGATTTCATGTCAGTTTGTCAACTTTTTTTCAACATGCTGAATATGCATGACTTTTCTTAATCGTTGCTGTCTCGCACGTTTATGTCTAAAGAACACGAGGATCCCTAATAGCGAAATAGAATCAACCAAGCCAAAAAACGAGGATGCTTCCATACAGTATATTCGAGTTACCGATGAATTCAAATGAATTACAACAACAAGAATTCAGATCATGATAAATTGTTTTTCATTATGAATGTCATGTTTTATGATTAATTGTAAAGTATTTTAATGCATAAGACATACTCGTCTAATTACAGTATAATAATATATGTCTAGGCAGAGGCGGGCATTCCGTAAGACTGACAGAAATTCGGTCAGTCCGTCACTGATGGACGCTTGTTTCGCAGATGACTGGCGGGAACAATCCCCGCCTGTGCGGAGTGTGTTTGTTTGCATAGGTTAATGCAGCAAGCTTGAGTAGACTGCATTAACGATAAATGTATTATGCATGCACCATAGCGAATACAGAGCATGTATTAGAATCATGTGTTAAGTGCAGTCCAGCCTGGCAAGACAACAACTAATTAATGAGGTAAGAGGTCTGAAAGTAGCTTTGAAGACTACAGACATTTTTACGGATAAATCCTTGGAAAATTAAGTTTTAAATGTCAATGTTTAAGTTTGAAAAGAGTTCCACATTCCATTTCAGAAGGTGGCGGTAATGCACCCAAAGATGTTTGCCAACTGCCAAAATACAGAAGAAGAAGAAAAAGAACAACAACAATTCAAAGGAAAAGTGTTGACTGCTAGTCCTGGCAACTTGGTTTCGTTTTCCAGTTCCACAAGAATTTACTGGAAAGCACAGTAATCCACCAGGGCTGTACCGCTGGCAAAATTGCAACACAGGATTCTTGTTAATGACTAACTTAACAGTTCAATCGATTGGCAAATAGTGTTGGCTCTTTGAAATGTAGGTGAGTGTGTTTGTGTAAAAGCTCTTTGAGCAGGCACCGTGAAATGTGGATAAACTGATACATAAGGTACGTCATTCATCCATCCATCCATTTTCTGATCCGCTTTATCCTCACAAGGGTCTCGGGGGGTGCTGTAGCCTACCCCGGCTGTCTTCGGGCAGTAGGCGGGGCACACCCTGAACCAGTTGCCAGCCAATCACAGGGCACACACAGACAAACAACCATCCGCGCTCCCACTCACACTTCGGGACAATTTAGAGCGGTCAATAAGTCTGCCATGCATGTTTTTTGGAATGTGAGAGGAAACTGGAGTACCCGGAGAAAACCCAAGCAGACACGGGGAGAACATGCAAACTCCACACAGGAAGGCCGGAGTCGGGATCGGACACACGACCTCTGTATTGTGAGGTCGACGCGCTAACCACTGGACCACCCTAACAATCCCACCGAGGCTCGGGTGTCCATTCAAGGCCAATACACGTCAAATGACTCATATTGGCCTTATATGTAGCCGGCGTTCTTTCAGGATCACGGTGCAACCCGACTTGGCCACAGAGTCATTTAGCTTCTATTTGGAAGCTATTTTTTTTAACTCGGGCCCTATTTGGACTGTGCACATCTTCACATGAGACTGTCTCTGTGGAATCATATGATCCAGAAACAAAACGTCCCCATTTCAGTCTCTTAATAAAGTAATTACG